TTAACACAAATTAATGCAATTAATTCGATAAAAAATATATACATATTTCTGATAAATTCCACCATTGAGATTGAGGGGGGCGGGGTCTCTTGCGTGGATGGGTTGGGGGGGGATGGGGGGGTTGTTCGCTAGATTTGGTGGGGGGGGGGGGGGGTTGTGACGCCATTCCGTCTGGCCGCGTGACGCCACGAGGAGGCCGGCGTGACGTCACGGGAAGGTTGATATTGCAGAGGAATGAGGCTGGGGGTTGATGAGGGAAGGGGGGGGGAGGGGGAGGGGGGAGAGGATGTGTTTGGGTGTGTGTGTGTGGAGGGGGGGGGGGGGCGTGCGTGTGCGTGCGTGGGTGTATGTGTGTGGGAGGGGGGCGTGTGGGCGGGAGGGTGCGTGTGCGTGGGTGTATGTGGGAGGGTGTGTGTGCTTGTGTGTGCAAGATTGTATGTATGCATGTGTATATGTTGGTGTGTATGTAGTAGTAGTAGTAGTAGTAGTAGTAGTAGAAGTACAAGCAGTAGTAAGGAGGAGGAGGAGGAGGAGGAGAAGAAGAAGAAGAAGAAGAAGAAGAAGAAGAAGAAGAAGAAGAAGAAGAAGAAGAAGAAGAAGAAGAAGGAAGAAAAAGAGAAGGAGGAGGAGGGGGAGGAAGAAAAGGGGGGGAGGGGGAGGAGGAGGGGAGGCCGGGCTGCGGCTGGCGTTGACGTTGAGGGTATGTGGAGATCCTGTGGTCTGGATCGCCTTCCAGTTGCGATTTTGCTAATGCTTAAGGAAGGCGTTTTCAGTCCCTCCCTTCCCTCCTCCCTCTCTGTCCCTCCCTTCCCCCCTCCCTCCCTCTTTGTCCCTCCCTCCCTTCCTCCCTCCCTCTCTGTCCCTTCTTTCTTCCTTTTCTCTCCGTCCCTCCCTCCCTTCCTCCCTCCCTCTCTGTCCCTCCCTTCCCCCGTCCCTCTCTGTCCCTCCCTTCTTCCCTTCCTCTCTGTCTCTCCCTCCCTTCCCCTCTCCCTCTCTGTCCCTTCTTTCTTCCCTTTCTCTCCGTCCCTCCGTCCCTTCCTCCCTCCCTCTTTGTCCCTCCTTCCCTTCCTCCCTCCCTCTCTGTCCCTCCCTTCCTTCCTCCCTCCCTCCCTCCCTCCTTCTCCATATCTCTCGCCCCTCCTCCTTTCCCCTCCCTCCCCTTCCTCCCTGGTCCCTCCCCCCTCCTCCCTCCTCCCTTCCCCTCCCTCTCCCTCCCCCCCTCACTCCTCCCTCCTCCCTCCTCCCTCCTCCCCCCTCCCCCCTCCCTCCTCCCTCCCAGCCCATTACGGCGCTTGCGAGGGTCAGGTCCCAGGCGCTCCGGCAGGCAGGCAAGCAAGCAAGCATTCCTGGAAACCTTCCAGAGCTTTGAAAGCAGCAACATCGTCCACATCCTTCGGTGCTTGCCTGATGGGGGTAGGAGGGGGGTAGGTGGGGGGAGGGGGAGACTAGGGGTTTGGGTGGGGTAGGGGTGTGGGTGAGAGGGGAGGGTTATGTGGGGGGGGGGGTTCTGGAAGCGCTCGGGGCAAAACAGTGCTCTCTCGCGGCGCCTTGGTCGGTCTGATTGCCGGACTCTCGCGCCGTGCTGGACCCAAAGGCATGTTGGCCGGGGAAAAAAAAGCAACATACTGCGACAGAGAGCTGCGGTGTCTGTAGGGTCGAAATTCAGATGGTCTTGCTTCTTTTGGTGAGCTTTATCTGCTGCATCCCTCCCTGGCCCTCCCTCTCTCCCCTCTCTCTTCCCTCTCCCCTTCCCCTTTCCCCTCCCCCCTCTTCCCTCTCCTCTCCCTTCCCCACGCGTCCCCCCTCATCCTTAACCCCCCCACCCCCCACCCACCTATCATGTAATTGTTTGGACTGGAGTGAGGGGGGGAGGGAGGGAGAGAGAGAGAGAGAGAGAGAGAGAGAGAGAGAGAGAGAGAGAGAGAGAGAGAGAGAGAGAGAGAGAGAGAGAGAGAGAGCGAGAGAGAGAGAGAGAGAGCGAGAGAGAGAAAGAGAGAGAGGGGAGAGCGAGAGAGAGAGAGAGAGAGAGAGAGAGAGAGAGAGAGAGAGAGAGAGAGAGAGAGAGAGAGAGAGAGAGAGAGAGAGAGAGCGAGAGAGAGAGAGAGAGAGAGAGAGCGAGAGAGAGAGAGAGCGAGAGAGAGAGAGAGAGAGAGAGAGAGAGAGAGCGAGAGAGAGAGAGAGAGAGAAGAGAGATGAGAGAGAGGAGAGAGAGAGAGAGAGAGGAGAGAAAGGAAATAGAGAGAGAGATAGAGTAAGAGAGAGGAAAAGAGAAAAGAGCGGGAGAGCCTCCTGAATTAATTCCCCCCCACACCCACCCACCACCCCCCCTCCCACTCCCAACCCCACCCCACCCCACCCCACCCCACCCCACCCTACCCCCCGCGTGAAGCTTTTCCCTCAAAAATATACACATTTATTTTTCAGAGGTCTTCGCCTTCAGCTTAGGTCGAGTATATCAGCTTCGCCTCGACTGGAGTATCGGTGATGGCTGTGGGGGTCGCCTTGAGTTTGCTGAGGTGGGGGGGGAGGGGGGAGGGGGAATAGGAAAGGGATGGAGAGGGAAGGGGGAAGGAGAGGGAGAGGGGAAGGGGAGACGAGGGGTAGGGGAGAGGGGGAGGGGAAAGGGGAGGGGAAGAGGGGAAGGAAGGGGGAAGGAGAGGAGGAAGGAGAGGGAAGGGGAGGGGGGGAGGGGAGAGGGGAGAGGGAAGGAGAGAGAGGGAAGGAGAGAGACACAGACACAGACAGAGAAAGAGACACAGACACAGACACAAACACAGACACAGACAGAGAACCACCAATGATTAGCAGCCACATACCCACGCCCTTCCGAAACAGGGTCACGCTCTGTAGGACTCGAAGCCGCCCGAAATTCATCAAAGACGCACACGGGAGGCGGAGG